CGTCTGGTCCTGCTGCTTTCCTGGTGTTCACTCTCTTGAAGGCTCTCCTTACTTCATGCTCGGAGATGACGAGCACGTTTCCGGTGCTGGCAGTATCTTCCTGTCTGCAGCCGTTAGCGCCGCTAACACTAGCATTGTTGGAGACCTTAGCTGCAGCCTCGAAGCGAGCATAGAAAGTGTTCAGCTCGTCTGCCAGAGTCACGGCCGCGTTCGTCATACCGGTTGTTGGTGCTTTATAGTCCGTTATTGTCCTTAGTCCCCGCCACAGGCTCCTAGAGTCACTCTGTTGGAGTTGTGACTCTAGTTTCCTCCCGTAGCGCTGCTTCGCCTCTTTCACCGCCCTCCGCACGTTATATGACGCGGCTTTGTACGGGTCCATGTCCCCCGTCATGAGTCCCGTGTTGTAGGCAGCGGTGCGGGATCTCAGAGCGTCGCGGATGGTTTTATCCACCCACGGCTTCTGGTTGGGAAACGTTGTGATAGTCTTTGTCTCCACGGTATCATCCGCTAGTTTCCCGATGAATCCCACAACCGCTTCCGTAAACACGTTGACGTCATCGTCGGAGCTGTTTCTGAACATGCCCCAGTCTGCGTCATCGAGTGCGTCCTGTAACGCGGCCACCGATTGATCCGTCCAGCGCGCGACCTTCCTCTGAACCGGAACTTCCTGTTTCAGCCTTTGTTTGTATTTTGGCATGAGGAAGATGGCGGCGTGATCAGATTTGCCAAACGGGGGGCGGGATTGTGCCTTGTAGCCGTCCTTGACCGTAGTGTAGCAGTGGTCCAGTGTCCTTTCACCCCTGGTGGGGCAGGTGATGTGTTGATAAAAGTTCGGCGCTGCGCGTTTGAGGTTGGCGCTATTAAAGTCCCCCGTCACAATAAGCGCAGCGTCCCGGTGTTGTGTCTGGTGCTGTGTGAGTGCCTCATGCAGCTCGCATAAGGCGGTGACCGTGTCCGCTTGTGGTGGAATATAAACGGCACTTACAATGACCGATGTAAATTCCCGAGGTAGATAAAAAGGACGACACATGATGGACAGTAGTTCCAGATTTGGTGTGCAGGAGCGTGTGAGAGGAACAACGTTCGCACTGTTGCACCAGTTGTTGTTCACCATTAAACACACGCCGCCTCCCCTTGACTTCCCCGAGTCCCGTGTCCTGTCCATGCGGTGAACCGAGAAGAACTCGGCCGGCTGGATGGCGTGGTCCGGCACCGCTGGGTTCAGCCATGTCTCGGTGAAGCAGAGGAGATTGCAGTCCCGAATGTCTCTCTGGAACTTTATCCTGGCCCTGAGGTCGTCAAGCTTGTTCTCCAGTGACTGGACGTTGGCGAGCAGGATGCTAGGCAGAGGTGTGCGGTGTGCACGAGCTCTCAGCCTGTTCCTGACGCCGGCTCGCTTCCCTCTAGGCCGCCGCCGCTTCCCTTTGTTCTCCCTCGAGATCTCACTCGGCCAGCTCGGATCCGGAGTTAAAAACTTCGAATTGTGAGTACATTGTATACCAATAGAAACAAGAGTGTCACTGTCATACCTAATGTACCCAATGGTGATGATTTTGCCGATTTAGAAACGCTGAAAACTAACTTAAAAAACAAAGACAAAGAAAAAGTGGTCGGAGCAGTCGTGACGGCAGCCGACCTCACCGGCGCCATCTTAATCTCATTAATCTCATCAGATTATTTCACTTAGTGTTATTGCACATGTGTGGATGTGTGTGTTTGATCTTTATTTAAAGTTAAAGTCTGACAGCAGTGGGGAGGAAAGACCTGCGAAATCTCTCCGTCCCACACCGTGGGTGCCGCAGTCTCCCACTGAAGGAGCTTCTCAGTGCTGTCACAGCCTGCTGCATGGGGTGGGAGATGTTGTCCAACAGGGATGACAGCTTAGCCACCATTCTCCTGTCACTCACCACCTCCACTGGATCCAGAGGGCATCCTAGAACAGAGCTGGCCCTTCGGATCAGCCTGTTCAGTCTCTTCCTGTCCCCGGCAGAGATGCTGCCGCCCCAGCAGACCACACCATAAAAGATAGCAGAAGCCACCACAGAGTTGTAGAAGGTCGTCAGGAGTGGGCTCTCCACTCCAAACGACCTGAGTCTCCGCAGCAGGTACAGCCTGCTCTGCCCTTTCCTGTAGAGGGCGTCTGAGTTATGAGTCCAGTCCAGTCTGTTGTTCAGATGAACACCAAGGTACCTGTAGCTGTCGACAGCCTGAATGTCCATACCTTGGATGTTCAGTGGTTGCAGTGGAGAATGCTTGTGCCTGCGGAAGTCTACCACCAGCTCCTTGGTTTTACTGGCATTGATCTGGAGGTAGTTCAGCTGTCACCAGTCCACAAAGTCTTGAGTCAGTCTTCTGTACTCCTTGTCGTCCCCATCAGTGATGAGGCCGACTATTGCAGAGTCATCAGAGAACTTCTGCAGGAAGCACTGGGTGGAGTTGTGGGAGAAGTCTGCAGTGTAGATGGTGAAGAGGAACGGAGCCAGAACCGTTCCCTGTGGGGCCCCCGTACTGCAGACGACCCTGTCCGACACACAGCCCTGAGTTCTCACATACTGTAGTCCAAAATCCAGGTAGTGAGGTGATGGTCCACTCCAGAGTTCTCCAGCTTGTCCTTCAGAACCGAGGGAAGAATAGTGTTGAAGGCACTGGAGAATGGTAAATGGTAAATGGCCTGTATTTATATAGCGCTTTACTAGTCCCTAAGGACCCCAAAGCGCTTTACATATCCAGTCATCCACCCATTCACGCACACATTCACACACTGGTGATGGCAAGCTACATTGTAGCCACAGCCACCCTGGGGCGCACTGACAGAGGTGAGGCTGCCGAACACTGGCGCCACCGGGCCCTCTGACCACCACCAGTAGGCAACAGGTGAAGTGTCTTGCCCAAGGACACAACGACTGAGACTGTCCAAGCCGGGGCTTGAACCGGAGAAATCAAAGAACATGATTCTCACAGTGCTTCCAGCGGTCTCCAGGTGAGCGAGGGAACAATGTAGGAGGTGAATGACGGCATCATCCGCTCCAATGCCAGGTTGGTAGGCAAACTGTTATGGTCTCGGGTCCCTTGGTCTTGTCTTGGTCTCGCTGTCTCGGTCTTGCTGTCTCAGATCGACATAGTGGTCGGGAGATTTGGAGTCAACAGTATCCACGGCACACAACGTAACATTCGATAATGTGTCATGAGCAAAAGCATCAGCTCTAAGAGCCGTGCTTAGAGAGTGCTTTGTAGTGAATCAGAAGAGCCGACTCCCATTGAGCGAGAGCCGGCTCCTCACTTAATTTCCTTTCGCTGCTCAGCTCTCACACAGTGGCTCAGCTATGCTTCAATCGCTCCATATTGTGGTCAATCGCATGCGAGGATATAGGATAATATCATTATGTGAAAAACAGAGAGGGTGAGAGACGCGACAGTCAAGTGGAGCGTGTGTCTGTCCTCTCAGTAAGTGAGTGAGGCAGTAGACAGCGGTGAGGAGGGCTGTGCGAGTGCATCACAAAAACACATAAATATGCCTGACACCTGTAAACGAAGCAGCATCTGGCTGCAGTTTAAAGACTTTTTTGTCTCGGTCTCGTCTCGACTTTGTCTTGGTCTGGACTCGGTCTGTCTTGGTCTTGTCTTGGTCTCGATACCCTCTGGTCTTGGTATTGTCTTGGTCTTGGATTAGGCGGTCTTGACTACAAGTCTAGAAGGTATGTTGCTGTACTGCTATAACATTACTTTATTTGTATTCAATTCAATTTATATAGCACCAAATCACAACAGCAGTCACCTTGAGGTTCTTTATTTTGTAAGGTAACAACCTTACAATAACACAGAGAAAACCCCAACAATCAAGCTACCCTCTTTGAACAAGCGCTTAGTGACAGTGAGAAGGAAAAACTCCCTTTAAACTGATGGAACCCCTTGGAGACCATCTGCAGTGACTGGTTAGGGGTAACGGGAGGGAGAGAGGACAAAGCACAGGTTAAAATACACAACACAAAACATGGGTTTGATGAATTCACTTACTATTACTAGTTTTTAGAATGTCTTTAGCATTTTACTCTTACGCTTTCTTAAACATGATGATTTTATGTACACAGGTTGACTTTTAATCAGAGCAGAGCAGTTGTTACGTTTAGACAGTGAGTCATACAACACTAGACCAGGATTCCCACATTAAGGTCTCCCACTTTGTTGCACTATGGGCCTTTAGGTGCAGCTACTGAGCAGTTATGGTCGCGGCTGTTACCAGGCAACATTGAAAGTAAACTTTTTTTATTGGCAGCAGCAAGTTGCAACTCTCAGCTAAGACTAATCCCACTAGCCCGCACACCACAGGCTGCCGTTATCTGCCAACTAAGTTATACCCCGTCACATAGCTAAAAAGAGCAGACTGCATATTCTTCTCACTGGTATCATAAAGGTCTTTTTATTCACCCCAGGCTTGATAATCACTTTAAAGCTGATGTTGCTTATTTCATTGCTGTTTCAGTTCACCACTACATACTTTATGTAATTCGGTGGACTTGCAGTAAAACCAGCTGCTGCCTCATTTGCCGTCTGTAGATTCTGAGGTTGAGACAGTAAAAAAGACTATGCATTTATGAACCAAGCTGCTGCCCTCCCACTCCTTACCACTGCTGCTGTTTACTATGGCCAAAGCAAAGTGATGAGATTTACTTCCCATAAGCTTTTGTGGATTCATTAGCTGTAGCTAATCTTATGAAAACTGATATCTAATCTTTATAGTGAGGTTAATACATCACTACTAAACATTTGACAGATGTTGACATTTCTTGATGTTCTTATTTCTTTATTGATTGCATTAATCATACTTTATTAGTTAGTCAGTTCCTTGTTGAAAATAAATGGTCTCGTTATTGTTTACTTCACTATAGATGTGCAGGCAAAACAGCAAGGAGAGTAACAAGGAGAGTGTGTAGTCAAAGAAAGATGCAATTTTCTTAAAATGAATGGAAGAACTGAACTGAGTTGAGACAAATCCTCTCGCCTTATAACATAACATCTCTTTATTTTATTTTTTATTTGCTTCATACAGGAACTGCTGCTGCAAATCTACAGTAATATACAAGAGGTGCACTGCCATCGTCTCTGGGTGTTTTGGGGCCATTAGCTGTGATGTGGCCAGAAAGAACAGCTTGTTCCTTTTTGTCTACACAAACTCTTTTCTTTAATTACTGACTTCATGAATACAACCTCGAATCTCTTTAGCCGTTTGTCAACTTCCACTGTAGACATACTTGATTTTTTTTTTTTAAACACAGTCTTGTCTTGTTTAAACCATGCAACACATACGTACACGTGGTCAGCTTGAATGTGTCCAAGTCTTTGTTGCATGTGTCTACATGCATTCATATTATGTGTATTGTCACAGATGGCAGCTATGCACAGTTGATCACTGTAACCAACCACATGTACAGAAGCTTTTTTTTTCCCATAGAAATTTGCATTTAAAGGTCTTGCAGATACCTCAGTGTTTTATCACTTTTATGTCTAGTGCATGTGTGAATTTTCCTTTATAGCCTCATAAACAGTCATTCAGGACACACACACAGCTCTCCAGCCTCTACTGTGATTTGTCGTGTCCTTGTGTGTTCACAACCTCTCAATGTCTCTGTACTTCTTCCTCAGGATGGAAACCTGGTCTCTGAACAACACTGGGTCCAACCTCATCTGGGAGTGCACTAAGGGCATGAAACCTAGCCAGTGGCTAAAGGCGTTCATGCAACTCTGTCGCTGGGCGAAATGGTCCGGGTCAGCCCAACGAGATGACACCTTGGAGCCCTTCATATGGGAAAACAGAGAGAGAGTGAGAGAATAGGACTGTATTAGAGTAAATAGAAGGAGGGATGAATCACCTCAGCTCTACAGCAGGCAATAATGTAATAAAAATCCACAATCAGCAAAAAGAAAACACATTTTTAAACTTTTATCTAAGGCGCACATTGACTCGGGCCAACAGGTTTAGAGACAAAGTGTATGAGTGGGTCGATTTTCACTGGGATTTCAATGATATATTAGTGCAGGGAATCTGTGTAGAGATGGCCAGATGGCATAAAGGGAGTTGGTGGAACAGCTGGAAAAGGTGAAACATTTTGTTGGAAACTTTGGGGGAAAAAAAACGTCATTATCACTTTGTTTCCTGTTTCAATCTCCTCAACTTCTAATCCAGTGTTGATGCAAAAAGTTAGCAGACACCTATTATTTCACAGACAACCTAGCCAGCATCTATGTGTCTGTCTCTTTTTCAATTTTCAGAAAGTATTTCTTTCAATTATCTTTCTGGAAACATTGAAGCATATTCATATTGTTTAACATTCGCAGACAAATCAGTATCCTTCACACCACTTGTTAGACACAAGTCGAAACCTTTGTCATCATAGCAAATATGGAATTGGCTTGTTAGGCTCTGAAGTATTTTTCCATCTTTTAAACTGTAATCAATGCTCTATAATGTAGAAGCCTTCACTTTTTTCTTTCCAGCTGTGCAGGCCTGTCTATACTATCCAAGCCCCATTGACTTGCCTACAAATTTCCCTCTTTCATCAAGCTGTGACATTTAACTTGTGGCAAGCTTTTGTCCTTATTGAGCCATAGATAAGAGCCACATGATGTATTGTTCAGAAAGGCTCTGTTCCGAAGTTGGATTTTTAAACTTTCATCACTGCAACAAATCCGTCAAATGGATTTTAATTTGGGTTTTCTTTCCTAGATGTTCTACTTTCACTTTAGGTCTCTAAAATCTGTGATTGTTTCTGTGGTAGTAGTTACACAGGTAGTGTGTGTGAGTTTGTGAGTGTGTGTGTGTAGGAGGATGAGAGTGGCTTTGTGCAACACTTTGTCCTACCAGAATTTAAAGTAATACATGTATTGTGTCATTATTGAACTCCAAATGAAAAAAAGATTTGCATAACTTGATGTTTCACTGATTAAAGGTGGGTTACTTTATATTTCAGTGGGAGCCATGTTTTGAAACTCATCCAAATGACTTCTTCAGTTAGCCTTGTCCCGCCGTAACTGAACAGATCACTTGCATGAGACAAAAGGTTTCTCCACCTAAAAACGCTATATCTAGATGAACAAAATTAACGTCCTGAGGCTTCCCCTTCATTTTCTGCTGATATCCTTCTGTCCTGACGCTCGTTTCCACCCACTCCTACCTGCCTCCACTTTCTTCTTCACCTCTCATTTGCACTATTCGTTGCTTTGAATGGCTGACCCCAGTGGTTCATCCACCTTCACTAACTCTACTCCTTAGATATTTACTTTTACGCCTTGTGTTGTGTCTTGCTTTTCCTGACTTTCATTCCTCTTCTATCCAGAGCATACCTCCAACTCTCTAGGCTCTGCCCATGTACTCACTGCTCACACAAAAGAATGCAATGTCGTCTGCAAACATCATATTTAATGGAGACCTCTGCATGACCTCATCTGTCAACCTGTTAATCGCCAATGCATAAAAAAGGGGTTCAGTGCCGATCCCTGAGGTAATCTCCACCCCACAAGCAGGAAGTGTGGCAATTTACTGCTGATCAGTCACACAGTGCATTACTTAACAAACAGTTAATGCAGAAAAAAGTGAACAAACAGTCATTTTAGATTGTTTTTTAGATTATAGCAGAAATCTGACCTACAAATAACTTTTTATAGTCACAGTGAGAATTTTAAACTGGGACCTAAATGTGACAGGAAGCTAGTGAAGGGACATTCGTAGTGAGGTGATAAGGGAGCATCTGTTTGACCAAGTACATAGCCTAACAGTAGAATTTTGAAATGCCAGCAAACAATGTGTATTTGCAGACAACAAGTTGTGAGCATCCCGGTTGCTGCTACAGATGAACCCGAGAAAGTGCAGTTGTAGGGTTAGTAGAGCCCTTTGAGAGTGGTTGTAAAAGCTGGAGGAAACTTATCTTCAGATAGAAAATTTTGAACTACTAAAGAATATCCAGTGACAGAAGTGATCTGGGCCTAAAATACAATATGACTTGTACAATAAAACAGCTTAAAAATGTTAATTCATTTAACATTCTGGTCCAGGTATCCCACAAGATGTCAGCTCTTTCCTCTTACGCCATGTTAAATGTCTATCTGCTGTTGCTTGAAGCGAAGTCACAAATCATGGGTGAGATTGAGGAGGTGGGGGTGCACACAGGAAAAAAAGAAAGAATGAGAGAGCGAGTGAGGAAAGGAGGGGTAAAAGGGGGGAGTAAATCTAGGTTTGTCGTGCTGCTTTCACAATTAAGACATTAATCACTACGTCCATACTGCTGAGTCATCGTCCTGCCTGTGGTCAGACCATCAATCAGAACCTGACAAAGGGCTGGCCCCATGAACACACACACTCACACAAACACATGCACATACAGGGATCTCCCAAAGAGAAGGTCAGGGCTGTATGTGGCCTGAAACATTTCTACCATTTCTCTTTTAATACTCTTATTATCTTCTTCTTTCCTTAAAAAGAGGTCTATAAACACACAGCACTTTTATCATCTTTAAACTGTGTTGCTACTGTACAAAATGTTTTGATGGACCAACAATGTCATGAGCAATGAATTAAAAGAAGCCTCCATTTGGTTTTTCTCATGCCCTGCTTGCACATTAATGCAATGCAATTAATGCAACAGTGCTAATAGAGCTAAACTACTCCAAACAGAAGCATTTGCAAATGTTTTATGGGGAATGAAATACATTTTGGACTTTGTTAACAAACACTGAAATTATCCCAAAAGGGGACTTTAACAGGGGGAAGCTTGGAAGGCACTTTAGCTTTGGATAACTGCAAATTCATTGAATGTAACCATGAAAACTTAAACATCTATGTAAGGCACAAGTGACTAATTATACAATGTCTACAAAGAAATGATGGATAGTTAGACTATATATAACTAGTTTTTTTAATCAGGTTGTGGGATGACGGAGTTTCTTTCTTAGCTCTTGAACACCGACCCTCCTTCCAGCATTTTTAAACCTTGGACAAAGTTTTCTTCCCTTTTTATTGTCCAAATAACATTTGTAAGTGATTCATTCCATGTTGAAATGGAATGTGATAAAGCACTACTCAAATTCCCTTGCACATTTTTTCGCCTCAAAGTTATTTTTCTACTGAAAGGCTCAGATGGCTGTTGAGGGCCCCAATCACACAGGACTGGAGACTGGTCTATGAGTGGTTGCTGCAGGTTGCATGCTGTTGCTGGTTGACATACGTCACAAAGAGGGTGCTGCACCAAAAGGTCCTTGTGATTACTCTGGTTGTTAGCAGGTTACTATGGTTGACTGTAGTTTACATAGGATACACCGACTTGTCTGCAAACACCTGTAAAAATGTTCCAGGTACTTCAGACCTCGTGTGTCGGAAAAAGTGAGGAAAACCAGGATTTGTTTTGTTTCTTTCTTCTTGGGCTTTCTGAGCAGAAAAGAATGAGAATATGATCGCAAAGTCTGAACAGAAATAACTGCATTGTGCTGCTAAAACAACTTTGGCTCTTTGCTAGTATCTGAACAGACAGAATGCTAAAGCTAACCAAGGCAAGGACACCGAGTGATGTTAAAGCTGAGCGAATGCTGACCCCAGGTCAGCTACTAGATCTTGAACTTCAGCAGGTAACAAATGGATGCGCAGTCAGGCTGCTGGTTTTCATGAATTTCATTCATTCATGAATTTAATTTTCTTTATTTTGTGTTGTCAGCTTTGTGTTCATACCTAAACACTAAGATAAAGAAAATGTGTTTCTCCTCAACAGGATAAGGATTTGTGTTGGTGTGTTGATATTGTTAAATCTCAGATAATTTTTATAGAGAAACACAAAAGTAATGTAATCATTTGTGTAATTAATTATTTTGTCCTGGGATTAATAAAAATACGCTGCATTGATTTTAAGAGAAGTGCTCTTTGTAATATGTGTAATAATAAATTTTTTCCAGTAATGATTGCAACACAATCACAACAATGGGATTGGGATGTACCTCCAACATGCACAAACATTTGTCCGTACAGTATGCAATCACAAGGAGGTTTTTGGTGTAGCACACGAAATGCCTGCAACTGCTCTCAACCACTCACTAACCACTCACGCTTTTTGATGTTTGCAAGGGGTATGTGTGTAGGCCTGTGTGACTGGGGCTTTAGCAATCAATTTCAAAGACAACCAGGAATCCCCAGGAATCCCCAGCAACCACTAACCACGAACAGAAATCTCAAAGAGGTTGAGTAGTGATATGAATGTGAGTTGGAGAGAGCCAGCTAGTAAGGAGCTGGTACATATTACAGAACTGGTGTAAATAATTCAGTCTCACTTTCTTTAACCTTAAGAATGCCAAACAATGATTCAGAGTTTTTGTATTGCATCTGCAAAGTTATATGCCACACTTCACAAAGCTTTTACAGACTACCATTGTGGGAAAGGACATGATAAGGTTGCGGAATAAACACCTGTCTGTAGACTGAACATTGCACACTTTTGTACTTGTGATGACTACTTTAACTGAGGAAAAATGCCATTCTGAGAACACTGGACAAATTCAGACATAGTAGGGGTAATTTTTTGACTTGGCCTCTGTAGCCATAAAAGCAAGACAGGATAATGTCAAAGCAGCTATAGTTACGCAGAGTAAAAATCTGAGCCTGTCTGTGGCAGAGACGGAGGCAGATACATTCTATAGGAGACAGTGAACAAGTATACAGTCTAAGTGTATCGATAAAAGTAAAACTCTGTCCAACCTGGGTCATCATGGTTTCCTTGTACTGCTTCTTCTGTGTGACTTTGATTGGAGGTTGCTTGGTCACGGCCGAAACGAGGAAGTTCATCAGGATGTCTTCACAATTAGCCATGCGGTCCACCATTGTCAGCAGGCTAGCCGGTATGTAGTGAGTGAACAAGTAGTGATAGTATCTGATGCATAAAGGAAAAGGGCAGATTAGGGATTAGGATGTGGGTGTATTTTTCATTTTAAAAGCCACAATTCTGTTCTATTTGGTTGCAGTGTTGCACTCTCAGCAGCATGGGAGCACTAGATCACTGTCAGTGGTTACCTCCCTGACAAGGTCTCCCGCCCCTCGCTCTTACACACAAATGCATACACACACACACACTTTACAATGTTCCTTTTGGCACATTTTTTTCTACCTTACATTTCCATTTGACAGTCTAAATAACAAAAATAACTGAAGAGGTGCATTGAGCATCCTAACAATAGAACAACAAGAGAGCTGTTTATCTGCATGACAAGATGCCTTTAATCCCTTTGGAGAGCATCACTCTTCTCCATTCAATTTACCGCTCTGCTTAATACTTGAGTTTACCATTTTTTATTTTAGCCCTAGCATTGCATTTTTGACAATTGTTTCATGATATAACAGAGGTGGAGAAAGATTATATTATCCCTTTTCCTAAAGATGAATTTTAATGTGGTTTGCATCTTAGAGATGGGATAAGTATTTCTGGGAAGCTGGTGGAATGATATGCAGAACATCTGCACCATGAGACAAACTGACTGCAGCACTAAAAGAGAAGCTGGACTGCAGTTTATGTCTTTACGTAATTGCTTTTAATGAGTGCTTATACATTAGCACCACTGCTAACATAAAATATAGCAGCATTAAATTTACAGTGGCTATGTGCATAGACAATACTGACTAATAAAAAAATATTTAAAAATGCTTTTTTTTTTAACATTTTATATATATTTTGTTTAACGATCATTACATGAGTCATCCAAACTTAAGATATAAATATAACCTCTCTAAAAATGCTGGGGCAAGTCTCAGCAATAGCTTTAAAGGTTTTTTCTTTGAACAGACAAGTAGGTAGAGTTGTGTGTGTGTGTGAACTTTAAAAGAAAATCATGAGTCATATCTCCAAGTTTTCTTGGTGCATCCTCTATATGATTTTTTTTATATATACTCTAAAATATGAAGGTCCTTTGCAGCACAACACAAGAAGAAAAACAAGTCAACTGTCATATCCGCAGGTGTAGGTGTGTGGCAGGCAGAGTTGTGGACCCAAAAAAAGCAGGACTTGGCAACACAGAACTGAACTAAAAAACACAGCTTTAATGCTGGAAAAACAGGCAACAAAAACAAAAGGTAAAAAACCCAACTGAACAGTCACAACCATAAAAATAAACTGACTCAATCATGAGAGGAAACACAGACAGAACCACCACCTACGATGAGGGAGAGCGCAACAGAGAACAGAACAGTGAACATAATACATATATATAAACAGAAGACTATCAAAATAAAACAGGAAGTACAAACACTGAGACTAAGATTCCAAAAGACAAAACACAGTTCAGGGGGTCAACCAGACCTCAGGGCAAAACTCAGTGGCTGAGGCTGGCAGTGGAGACGATGAAGGTCTGGAGGTGATGGTAGCAGAGACCCACTGCAATAGGACTGGAGTCTGGCGATGGTGTGGTGGGCGGAGACCCTGGGGCGACAGGACTGGAGGCTAGGAACAATGGAGATGTAGACCCCTAAACAGCTTGGCAGGTGGCCAGCGTCAGTGGCGAGCCATATACTGCCATGGTGTGGAAGCCTCGGACCCAGACGGTGCAGAGACTTCTGATGAGGACTGGGGCCCCGCATTGCACACAGCGCGCTCTGGTTGCTCAGGCTGGGAGTACGCAGCAGGCTCTATGCTCTAGATGGCGCTGCTTGGCCTAGCACCCAGCAGATGCAGGAGACTGCCGCTGCTTGGCTGAGCACCTAGCAAATGGCCACAGAGTTTTGCAGTTATCATTCCAGTCAGCGTCGAGTAGGAATTTGTCAGCTGTTGAAGGATGAGGAGGTATTCATGTGCTGCTGACGTGACAACAGAAGGAGGAAAGCATGAAGAGAGCAGTTTTTGCAGTTCTTCTTTAGCCTCGGTGAGAGCACAGACCATCTCCGGAGACCGGGGAAGCTGGAGGAGCAGAGGGTTCCTCTGGATAATCGCATCAGTGGTGTTAAGTCCAACGAATTTCATCCTTATGCCCATGACTTAGGAGATGTGAATCAAAAGACTGTTCATCCGTGTTAGAGCCAGCCCACATTCTTTCAGGGCTGAGTCTGCTTGGTCCATTATTTGGTCCCGTTCTTCTGTCATATCCACAGGTGTAGGTGTGAGGCCGGCAGAGTTGTGGACCCAAAAACCACAACACAGAACTGAACTAAACATCTAAGCATTGGGCAACAAAAACAAAAGGCAAAAACCATCCAGACAGACAGAACCACCACCTACAATGAGGGAAAACGCAACAGAGAACAGAGGAAAACACAGACAATAAGACAAGGAGGATAACACAGCTGACTAAACTGACCGACGAGACAGGGGAAGCAAAACTGAACATAATACACATGAAAACAGAAGACCATCAAACACTGTGACCAACACTAAGACACATGGGCTTGACACAGGGACTGGGGAGAAAACAGACAGACATGGGTACATGACTGTGAAGGCTGAAAGTCAAAGAGATGAGACTAAGGAAGACTGAACTCTAGAGATACCAATACAGAACTAGAATGTAAACCATAACAAACACAAAAACAGGAGTATGACATCAACACTTCACGGCTGCAGGCTCTAAAATTTTGAAATGCAGAAAAAAGCAGATTACTTAATTATTTACTTATCTTGATCCAAAGATCTGCAGAAACTATTTGTGCTGCAGGGCATTTATCCTATAGGAATGTAATTATTCCATGTCAGGGCCTATATGTCCTAGGTACAAACCATGATTGGAGGCAATCATAAGTTCACCATGTACTGAAGGGTGTTGTTACCCTTTATATACATGGCCTATAATAAGACCAAAACTCTAATTCTAAAACTAGAATCTTTGAGATTTTGGGGGATTTTTTGGGGAGTAGAATTCAAGACTTCTTAACACAACTTGCAGCTATCCAGTGGTAGCAAGAATACAATTACAGCCTCTCTTAAATAAGCTCAAGAAACATTTTTATTTTAATCCACAGGAGCAGTGCCTCTACTCCTCCCAAACGGCCGAGGTTCGAACCCTATCTAAGAGAAAACCCAGAGACTGTTCTGAGAGGTTATTTCTGCCGCTTTTATCTGTAATCTTACTCATTAAATCACGACATAATGCTTGTAGCTACAGGTGAGGGCGGGAAGGCATGCTGACTAATAAGTTGATAATGTCACCTTCATGCACTGACACACTGTCTGCATCACAGACGATGCCATGTGCCATCTTTCTGTGCCACTCTTCTGCCATTCACGTCAATACAACTTCACCGACAAGCAAGAAATCCTGTGGATTTGTACCTGTGGTAAAAAGCTGCTCCTGTAAGGACCATGGAGTACTCATTGGTCCACTTGGAAGTGTAGCCCCAGCGTGATCTGGAACTATCCCAGTAGTGGCTCCTTGCTGGATAACCAACAATACGCTCGGGAAAACTTTGCCATACAGTGAAGGCAAAGTCCACCTGGTCAAATAGAAAAGAAAGAAGGTGTTGAATAGATTAGATGTGTAGAGGAAATGTAAAAAAGAAAAAGAAAAGAAAAAGAAGAAGCAAAGGTGGAAGCACAATGAGAAAAAATGGAGAGAAGAAAAGCACAAAGAAAAGCAATACAGCTTATTCAGAATATTTGCGGTGTGGTAAAAATTGCATTCAAAACACCTGTCAAATGGCATTTAGCCAGCTAAACCAACAAGGCCGTCTTCTAAACAACTTCTCTGCCTCTTCACAACTACACAAAGAATATTTTTGAAGCCATTTCGCAATGTTTTCATTCCAGCTGTAGCACTTCATGTTAAAATGTCATTTAAATATCAGAGTGCACTGATTGATCAGTTGGAGAGCTCTAAGTCACATTCTAAACCTGGCTGTGCCGACCTGATTCATAATAATTTCCTCTTGCATGATCAAATGAGGTTTCATTTTTAACTTTTTAAAGAAAAATCTTTTTTTAAAACAAACAGATTTATGCAACATATTAATAATATCTATTTATCTACTTATCTATTATTCTCAGGTCATAAAATCCCTAACCCTCAACTTAATTAAGTCAGACTGCTCATGTTGAAAATGATTCATTACAGGGTCAGGTGTGCTGTCTGGGCTCCAGGTTTATTATATATCAAAGATGGGGAGTGATGAATAAATATACCTTCCCAGGGATTATTTGTGCAGGTAACTTCTGTGGTAGTGGAGGCTTCAAAACAGCAGGCAGTGATACAGGGAGACAAATGAAATATTTTGCAACTTAAATTAGGAGGGTGTGCTGGTATATATTATAAGGAAAGTTTGAAAGTGTGTAATGCAGTGCATTTCACAGACTTCTGTCCATTTTAGTGCAAAATACAACCCCACCAATGGGGCATGAACTGTGGTTAACTGGTTAACAGGCTTGTGATTTACACCAACACCATTCCTATTTTGTTGCTATTTCCATCAGGAGTGCTGCGGCCAGGAAGTCAATTTGGCAGCGTCAAAGGAGACTGTGTGTGCATCACCAATAAACTAGATGCTTTGAGGATCGAGACCCTGGAAACAGAAACAGGTTGCTGGTCTTGCATTGTGGTCATCTTTTAAGCAGGTGCCAGCTTTGACTGTCTCCTGCTCCATTTTCCTTGGAGACTGCCTACTTCACAATAAAGAAGAAATTTCTCATGGCCTTTCTGTGGAGCAGCTGGTGCCCTTGAAGAAGATGGAGCTACCTGACAAAGACCCTCTTTTGAATACCAAAACACCACTGAGACATTCGGCCAGACACACTAGAGAATAAGGGGTTCGGCACATAATGAAATACTTTGTTAGACACACACACACACACACACACACACACACACACACACACACACACACACACACACCGCATACACATGTAAATTATAAACCTTTACCTTGAAGAGAATATGTCTTGATATTGGAGCTGCATATTTAATAATTTAACTTTAATTTAATTTAACTGTTTGGAGATTCAGCTGATGTTTGTATGTAGAAGCTATAATAGACTGTAGTGCTGGCATGCAGCACTGAACGCCAAATGCTTAACCTTTGCAATCTATAGAAGAACCTTTAAGCAATCAATGAAAGATACTTTTGGAGTCGCAAAGATGAGACATAACCTCACAGCACTGAGACTACTTGGTGAGAATGGCTATAGTCTTAAAATGCTGCAAAATACAAAACTGCTATAGCTCCCTTTAGCCCCAAAATGCAGACCTTATAACCCAGCTGGCTATCTTGGATCACACTGAGACTGCTGGTAAAACTTCATCAACGCCACAGCACTCCAAACCTGCTGGATACAAGATCAGTTTACGACACATTTTCCTGAGTTTTATCATCCTGAAGACAGGTGGAGGTTGACAGTGAAAGCGCACACACACACACACACACACACACACACACACACACACACACACACACACACACACACAGAAATTAATTACCAGAGTAGCACAGGTAGAGGAACTAGAAGTTGGAGAGGGGTGAACCAAAGGTGGATGTTCTGTCATGAACTGAACTACTGTAAAGCATCTGATGTAAGCTGAGAAAAGGTGATTCAAAGCACAGGTCCTCACGAAGGGACATGTTAGCTGTGTGTGTGCGCTGTGTTCCTGTATGAAAATGTGCCCATGTGGCAGATATGTGTGTGTGCGTGAGTAAGAGAGAGCAAGAGACCACTTACATGTGAGTGAGTAACAAAGCACAGGTTCATTGCAATCTGTCTGTCTTAATTATCGTTTAATATGACTGAAAATTTCTAATGAGCCTTGAACACAGTCTGTGTGTGTGTGTTTGCAAGATTTCACAAAGTAAACAGTTACATTTAAAGGCGCATTAAAGTTTATGGTAATGGTCACGGCTATGTTTCAGGTTATTGTAAACTTCCAAGATGTTAATGCAAGATAATGTAACAAACTTTGAACTGACGGAAACACAACACACAAGTGTGTGTGTGTGTGTGTGTGTGTGTGTGTGTGTGTGTGTGTGTGTGTAATTCATACTGATGGATTCTACAAAGCCAAAATTGATCTGAAAAGTCGAGGGTCAATCCAGCAATAGATCTGCTACAAATCTCTCCTGACATTTGGGTTTAACATGTCCAGTCTTATAAGATGAAAAGGTGTTGCATCAGATTTTAGAGCCCCTATCTCCCCTCAGTGTTTTCAATGCTTTGGTTGTTGAAAAGTTGTGTCTGGTTTTATTTATTTATTTTCCTCTCCATGACGCAATGCCGCTGCAGTGCTTTCACTGTCAACCTCCACCTGTCTTCAGGATGATAAAACTCAGGAAAATGTGTCGTAAACTGATCTTGTATCCAGCAGGTTTGGAGTGCTGTGGCGTTGATGAAGTTTTACCAGCAGTCTCAGTGTGATCCAAGATAGCCAGCTGGGTTTTAAGGTCTGCATTTTGGGGCTAAAGGGAGCTATAGCAGTTTTGTATTTTGCAGCATTTTAAGACTATAGCCATTCTCACCAAGTAGTCTCAGTGCTGTCTCATCTTTGCGACTCCAAAAGTATCTTTCATTGATTGCTTAAAGGTTCTTCTATAGATTGCAAAGGTTAAGCATTTGGCGTTCAGTGCTGCATGCCAGCACTACAGTCTATTATAGCTTCTACATACAAACATCAGCTGAATCTCCAAACAGTTAAATTAAATTAAAGTTAAATTATTAAATATGCAGCTCCAATATCAAGACATATTCTCTTCAAGGTAAAGGTTTATAATTTACATGTGTATGCGGAGCACACCAGGCTTCCTTGGTTCAAAGGGAAGTTAGGGTAGACTGAATTTGTGCTCCAGATTTTTTTTCAGCAAATGTCCAAATGGTAAATGTTAGGGCCCCAGTCACAGAAGCCTAGAGACCAACTGGTGACAATTTGGCCACGGTTCACCCCAAACCAGTTACAAGCGTTGAGTGGCTGGATGTTGCTTGTTGTCCCTATGTGAAATATACTGTATTTCAGTATTGCACCAAAAACCACATTGTGATGCCTTTGGTCGTGAGCAGATTGCCTCTTTGTGACCAGTTTCACTCATGAACCTCCAACTTCATCAACCAGTAGGGGACTACACGTTTTTCCCTAGTGACCAGAAGTTGGCAGGGGGCTGCAGACTGGTCTCTAGGCCTGTGTGACTGAGGCTTTGAAGCTCAGTAGGTAAAGTGGTCGCCCCATGATCGGAAGGTCGGCGGTTCGAATCCACTTAACGGCTACCCTGAGGTACCCCTGAGCAAGGTACCGTCCCTACACACTGCTCCCCGGGCGCCTGCTTAGTGGGCTGCCCACTGCTTCACTGACTGAATGGGTCAAATGCAGAGAAAAACAAGTAATTTCCCCATGGGGATCAATAAAGTATCCATTATTATTATTATTATTATTATTAATTTGGAAGATGCATGAGAAAAGCCAAAGGAGGAAATAGGGATCGATAGAGGGGTTAAAAAATGTTTTTTGAATTAATATGATCCAAGAATATGTTGTCTTATTTTATCAAAACTGTTTCAAAAACTTACTACAAAGCACTTAATTTAAAGGACCCTTTTATGTACTTTAGAGAACCATGCACACAGAAGGAAACTAACAGTGAGACCAGAGACCACAGAGTGTCAGTGAAAATGCAGGGATTTGAAGTGATGAAGAATTCAAATTTAAACTAATATTGGGTTTCCTTGCTTGCTGTTCTGGATTAGAAACACACCAGGTTTTAGATGCCTCTAAATTGGCTTCATTTTTCTTGAACACCACATGCATCTTTTATAAAGTGTTTTAGACACAAGATTTAAACCACTCACAGGTGAAGTAAATAACACTCATTATCTTGGCATAACCCATGTTCAGCTGGTTTGCTGTGTTCATATAGACCTTTGACACAACTAAGCAGTGATGGAGACCATGAAAGACATTCAAAAATCACTTGAAGGTGGAAGAATTCAGATTTTGATTGGCAGGATTTCCCACACTGTCAGTCCAATATCGAGCATGCTGAAGCCGGGGGCCTCAAAGTGACACTTTCAACTCATCCAATCAATCAATAGGTAAGAAATATGAACTTAATGGGAGAAAATACCCTAAATGAAATGAGATAGCGTCAATGAGCAAAAGAAAGCCATAGAGGTCAATCATTATCTTTTCTATGAATTCATGATTTGTTTAAGTGTGTACTGAAAACCTTGAATACTAATGAAAATAATAAGTGCTCTGAAACATGTTCAAACCCGGAGACAACCTTTAAATGAAATGAGGATCAAGATTCTGCCACTGCTGTTGTAACACAATTTCCATATATAGACATTTCATATAGAAAATGTCTTCCAAAGGGCATAATTCAGCAGCATGCTTGGCTGCCCAATGAGAGACAAAAGCTTTGTCAGGTCGTATCCCCTTCTCTAATCTCTCTTCATGGAATAATCATACATTTAATGAGCTGAAACAATGTAATTATGAAATTGGCACAGCCATTCTTCTGCCGAGGTATTGTAATATGAAAAGTTCTATTAAAAGTGTAATGTTCTCTCTTGCACATTTTTAGTGAATTGACATATTCCATCTCCTTTCAATAAAGCCTCTCACCATGTTAAAAGGGCAATTAGAGCTATAGGTTAGTAAGCACAGCAAAGATTCACTTCACTTCCTCTCTTATTCACTAGTTCTCTCCCTGACATTTTCTCCCTCCTCTCGTTTCATAAAACAAGCCGTGTGCTCATAAAAGTTTAGTTGTAGAAACTTGCTCATATTGCTGTGCCTGAAATTGTGGTGCTATAAAGTGTAATTGCGATCCCGTTTGCGTAGAAAAGGTGAACATTGACTTGCTCCGATCAATAAAACATCTTAGAGTTTAAAGATATATTCGATCTCTAGGGCTCATTGGGCCTCACAATCTATTATGGATTGCATCTTTCATTCGCTGAAGATCTGCAGAGAAAGAAACAAGGCAGCTACTTGTAATGGCTCTTAAAGCAGGAGCACTAATTTAGCATCACAGATGAGCTGCTGGTGACCGTATTGCTGCCGTGAAGGTAAGGAAACTTTGTGACTTGGGTCATACTTGTCTGTATTTGTCTATCTGGACATTCATGCAAATGACTGTATGTTTGATAACATTATAGTTCATATGATTTCAGAAAACTTTCAACAGCTTTTACTTGTAAATAATGTTTTTCAATTGAAATGCATAGAATTCTTTAATAGAAAATGTACTATGAAGGCTGTTTTCTTAAAAAAGCTTTCTACACACATTTCCACTCTCTATTACACATTCCTTATACTGTACAGGGGATTGTTCATGTATCACCTCTAGATTTATAATACGGATGAAGTTAATACAAATATTTAAATAGCCATTAAATTATTATTATTTTTTTAGTTTTAAAGTCTACCACTAGAAGGCTGCAGTACTGCAATTAAGGCTGTTAGTCAGCCTCCAAAAATATATATAATATAAAAAATAAATATAAATGGCTACAGCCTTCAACAATTCAGAAAACTACACAGAAATCAAATTCGGGGTAAACTTTACCAGGTAAAGTTAGCATGGAACAAATCTACCACAACTGTGCATAATGTTTTTATTTTTGAATGGTTTAAAGTGAATTTTGCCTCCAAGTGTCACAAGTATCTAGACGGTTCTAGCCCTAAAAAAATGACAATAAAATATGTTGACAGTATTTTCTGATTTGTAGTACTATGCAAATCTTTTTTTCCTTCCTGTTTTTATTTTAAAGTAATTAAACCAATATCAGAGGAATGTTTTTTTTTTTTTTGTTTGTTTCTTAAGCCACAAAATCTAAACGTTTTTGAAAGTAAAGCCCACAATGCAGTGCTATCCGTCATGGTCGTGAGAACCAACATCAAAAGAGCTTTGAATGCCCTTCAAGTCTCGAGAACTGTGTGCCTCTGCAATGTTCATATTTCAGTGGTTTTGCTAAGCCCCACTTGGCTCACTAACTCTGCTACAATATTTTAAAAAGGTGGATTATCAACATTATTTCCTCCCTTGACAGAGCTTCAAACAATTCTCTGGTTTCTAATTTGTTCTAAAACAGTACAAAAGTGTTCCTCATCCTTGTTTTTAAGTAACAAGTGAGACTTTAATCAAAGAACTTTTTCCCCTTTCTAGCCTGTATTTTCTTTCACATTTTAACACTGCTCACATTATTCCTTATCACATTATTCCTTTCTCTCACCTTTTCACTGGGTTAATTTCAATTACAAGAATACAAATTGAACGAGTTCCACAGTAATTTAGTAAAGGCAGGATCTCAGTTTGTGGCGTCTGTAATCAGAACTCTTTGCTATCCGATTCTGCTGCCATGTTAGACTTCCTACTCGTCTCGCTTAGTTTTTAATCATCCTTTAAAGGCAAAACACATTTTCCACCTTAAGTTCAGTGGCCATGGTGCTGTTTTGTAGAGTGAGGCGTTTCATTTATAATGAATAGTATTCATAACTCTTCGAGAACAGACTGTTTCATTTCAAAGAGGACCAATAATGTGTTAAGAAATCGTCACCTTTTACCACTGACTGCCATAAAACCATGCAGATCACATCAAGCTGTAAAAAAACATTTTTATACACAATTATAGTATTCAAGTATTCATTTCTATCAAAGTTGAGTAAATTGTAGGGATGAACACAATTTGTGTAAATCTCTGCTTTTGCCAACTTGCTCAGCAGCTTTTAAAATGTTTCACAAAGGCGGTTTATTAAATTTGGGAAAGTCTGCATATTAGGAGCCCCAGGCAAGGTTACTTGAGTTTGCATTACTTTTACCAAAGCCACTGATTAATCCTCATTGTCAAACTATTTTCTACAGTGGCCCTGAGAGCTAAATGAACTGCAACTTGAAGTGAGCTGTAAACCAAAAGTAGAAACACGCTGAAACAAACAGGATCTACATTTCCCCGTGGTGTCAAATAATAAAGCTTTTTTCTGAATTATCTTGCTTTTAAAATTTGCAGATGTCTTCTCAAGCTGCAGCAAGTGCAGCTGTCAGGTCAACTGTACTTTGTTTTTGTAAACTATATTGACAAATGTACTGGGACACCTACACATTTCACCTACAGGAGCTGTACGGCCATGGAAAGTCTTGCCAAGCTACACCATTTTTGGGCTGGAGTTAAAGCCAGAGGAGATTTGAAACTCTGCAGTTATTGAGTCAGCAAAGCTCTGGTGACTTTTATGCACTATGCACCTCAGCACTCGCAACCCCGCTCTTTAACTTTACATGCTCTGAGATGCTGTGGTTCCTAAACACTTCAACTTTTCAATAATACAACTTACAGCTGATTGTAGAATAACATAACCTGACTTCTTGCAAAGATTGCATTCTATTGCAGTACCACACCTTCACTAATGTTTGCAAAAAGCAGACTGCAAGAGCTTGAATTTATATACCTGTGGTAATGGAAAGTATAAACACCTGAATTCCAAGGTAAAGAAATAGCTAAATAATTTTGTCCACATAGTGTAACTTGAAAAGTGAATAATAGAAGATATACAATAAATCTGACAGCTCTATATTCTTCACCATGATTGTCAGCTAATCATTGAAACTGTGACATTTTTCTTATTAGCCAAAGATTAAGGTTTAGATTTTTTAGTTTTTAATGTTTTCACATTTTTAAAATGCTAAATGAGTGAATGCTAGCTTAAGTCAGTTCAGTGAAATAATTTTGTAAAAGCAGACATTGTAACTGCTTTAATTACCTCCGTCTCAAATCAAAGACCAGTTTTCACTAAATATCTTTGAAAGTCATTGTTTAGGCTGAGAGTAAGAAAAAGGAATAGTTCTTCCATGTGTTTTTGCACAGCTATATTGAAGTGGCTTCTTTACTAACTTGGGATCTGAGGCTGATATCAGTGTTTGGTAACAATGTGCCTTGGGAGCATCGCTGTCTCACCTCATTTTGTTGATAAAGCACCAGTGTCTCAGTTCACCTGTATGTAAAACTTCAGTGTAGTCTCAGTTGGTTGATCAACTATCGTTAACTCACCTCATTGGTTGAGAGAACAGAGTCTTCATCCAGACTGAGGACTGCGTCGGTGATGATGGCGTCATGGGGGAAAAAACGACTGCTCATCGTCTACAGGCAGAGAGAGAGGAAGTAGTTTGCACTACTGTTAACTGACAAACTTTAAGGAGTCTGAGCTTTTTTAGGGATCAAAGAAACCTATAATACACATTATGTATTTTAAAGGTATAGAGTTGGTATAGCAATATAAAGAAATCTATAAAAAATAAAGGAAAAATAGTTTCACCACCCCAACCCCCAACTGTGTGTTTTATCATTCACTGTGCTCACTTAATAGGTTTTGTTTGAGTTCTGATCAATTCAGTGCCTAACAGAAAGCATGCAACAGGCCCTGATCCATTAGCCCAAAGATCGCTGCTGCTGATGTTATTGACTCATAATTAACGTGTGAATTATTTAACTGTTTGTGAGGAAAAGTAACAAGGGCATAAGTAATTGGTGAAAAATAGGTTCAGTTGAGGTTTCAAACAACCTGCTCCCGGGCTCAGCACTCAGGATCTTTCAAAATCAGTTATCTTAAATGTGAGTGGGTAGCAAAGAACGAACAAGTCAGTATGATGAACCCCAGACAAAGCATGTAATTTATACATTCACCGGCCACTTCATTAGTTGCACTTCTTTAACAGTCACAACTCATTTATGCATGTAAGCATGGTCCAAAAAAATCAAAATGAGCAACAGAATGATGAATTACTCATACGTGGCATGGTTGCTGGTGCCAGACAGGCTGATCTTAATACTTCAGGCAGTGCTGAAAATGTCCCTACGGTGATTTAGCACACAAACATCTCTAGGGTTTACAGAGAAGGGTCTGAAAAACAAAAATATCAACTGAGTGGCAGTTCTCTGGGTGAAACTGCCTTGTTGATCTCAGAGGTCACTACAAGGTCATTACAACCAATTTATGCAGAAGAGCATCTCTGATCACATGGCACCCCTAAACTTGAAGCAGATGGGCTACGAAAAGCAGAAGATCACAGGTTTGATGGTGAAGGTGTAATTGTGAGGGATATATTTTCTTGCCACACTTTGGGCACCTTACTGCCACTTGGGATGTCATCCAATGGAGGATTAAGATTATGTTTTAGCTGCAAATAAATCTGTAGCAACGGTTATGATCTCAAAATGGTCCAAAATCACTATAAGGAATGTTTCCAGCACTTAGTTGAATATATGCCATGAAGAAGGCACAAAGTGGCTGTTTGAGTGTATACAATATTCTCAACAAAAATAGTTAAATCCATAATATTAGCTCTGTAGCAACATATAGCGAGAAAATATATTTTTGCTTCATCTTTAACTCACCCAGAAAGATTATCTTTTCGACTGGAATTATCTAAAATGTGGTTGTGTAAAATTTGCAACCCTTACAGCTTCCTTTCAATTATTTCAAGATTTTATGTCACTGAAATGAAGTGTCATGCCACAGTGGTGATGTTTTACATGGATTCATGACCTAAAAAAGAAAAGTAAATTAAATTTACACCCCCAGGGGTAACATTAAGAGGCTTATTTTGTCAAGTAAGACCACAAATCTCCACAAGCTTAATGTCTACTTCCATTTCAGCCTAATGATCTGACGGATGCTGAGATGAAATTTATTAGGAAATTAAGCGTAACATCAAATGAATTTCAACACAAATCCCCGACATTCTTTCAAGTATTTGAGAATGCCACATCAAATTCTGCATTAAATCACTGCTTAAAGAAAGAACTCCTGGCAGAAAATGTGTTTTTCTTTGGATGGTTGCCCTATAATCAGGAGACATGTACCTTATTCAGTCAGGACAGTGTTCGCATTAGCCAACAGCTTCTCAATTTCCTCAGGAAAAGCCACATGGCAGTGAAACAAATTGCTAAATTAACCACAAAAGCATGCCTGACAATCTGCTGCATTTTCCAGACTTAGTGGTGGGAATGTATTAAATCAAAGTTGCATGCACACATTTGCATAGTCAATGTGCATATAAATAGGCATGACAGTCTAATCTTGCATACAGTCTTTACATTTTTTCTTCACTACATTTCCAGCATCTGAAGGACATCATTTTCAAAATTTATTGCTTATTTTATCATCATTTTTCTTCTTTCTTCTTTCACTAAATTAGAAAATATATTTCTTACACACACACACACACACACACACACACACACACACGCACATATTATGAATCGTCCTGGAAATCAACATTAACATATGCCAAAGCAAATTCATACAGTTATGGTTGCAGATTCAGTAAGAAATTTGTCTCCTCCTGAAGTCAATATGGATTAAAAGTCAGAGAAAATATCACATCTGCATGTTTTATGGCAACTTAGGAAATACAATCTGCTTTCATTAATAAGGGCTGCAGTTGAAATCATTTTATCAAAACTTTTGCTCCTTTGTCCTGTGTAATTGGTCAGAATTGTGGTCCAACTATACTTGATTTTTCTTTTTTAAGTTTTTCACTCTTTTCAGTTTTAGATCTAAACTGTAATAAGTCAAGGACTATGGGACTGATTAACTTGCCACAATTTCATTGCAATCTATCCATTCACTGTTACATGTTTCCATCTCTACATGGAATTTAATTTGTCCACTACTTTAGTTTATGGCCAAATACAGTACACAAAAAAAGCGAATTTTAGTACTTCTGCATTTGTGCAAATTACCAGTTTGCTAACAGACTAAACTGATATGGTGAACATGTCGAATGTACATGCCATATCAATGTTAGCATATGGGTGATAGCATTTTAGCACTAAGCAGCATGACTGTAATCTCTTGAAGCCTCAGTCAGTCATGTACTGTGTGCAGGCAGGCAGGAATGGTGGCCCCAAAGTGTAGACTCCAGCAGGCAAACGTGAACTCAAAACTCAGCTTTATTTCCTGGATGGCAAAAAGAACAGAAAGCTAACTAAACTGGAAATATAAACCAAGCAAAAACAGGCTGATAGGCAGAACACACAGCATGGAATACTGGAGACCACAACACAGACAAAGGAAAACACAGGGCTTAAATACACAGAGGGAGCAATCAGGGAATGGGAGACAGGAGGGAAACACACCTGGGACAAATCAGGCCTAATGAGACAAGGGAACCAAAACCAGACACATTAACATAAGACACGGACCTTCAAAGTAAAACAGGAAACACGGACTGAACTTCCAGACACAGACTCACAAGCAGACACTGCACCATAGGGAACACAGAGATGTAGGATCAGGGCAGACACAGAGACACACACTGGACACAGAACAGAGGGAGTATGGAAACCATAAGAACTACAAAATCACAAACTAAGAACAACTGGAGAAATAGAAATGCAAAACAGAAACCAAAACCCTCACAGTCATAAACCAAGATGAGAACACAAATAAAAGTACAAAACTGAAAACACTGGGTCAATGACCCAGGTACCCTAACACAGTATGACAAGCCTGGAAACTAGTTATGACCGCCTGTCTATGTTGGTCACTAGAAAAATGGGCTGGTAACTGGTTGCTGGAGGTTGCTTGCTGGGTGAAATAATTCGTAAAGGGCTCCACCACCACCTATGTGATTGTTACAACTTAAATAAGTGTGACACAAAGCAGAAATGGAGAATGTTCACCTTCAAAGTAAAGGTTGTGCCTTATTGCTGCAACCACCACATTTCAAAAAGGAAAGCTTCTACTTTCACTTTTACACTTTTCACAGTTTTACTACAGCTTGGATAGTAGTTTGTGAGAGTTTGAAGCCAAGCTGGTGTCTTCCAAACAAAGTACTGGTGACCAATACAGCCTGCTAGCGACCTGCGCAATCTCAACGACATTTGTGTTGCAGCATCATATGTCTCTTTGTAGCCAATTTCAGCTAGTCCCACTAAAAAGCTACAGCAACCATTAGCCAGCTACAATTTTTCACTAGTAACTGGTGATTGCCATAGAATGACTGGGGCCTAAAACATGATTTAGAAAGATTAACACAGTAAATCTACTTTTTACATCTTAGCATTCACTGTATTTTACCATAGTTTTGTGTATAGTGCCCTCTATGCATCTATATAAAGACTTTATAAAAGTTTCTTTGGGCTGAAAATTGTCCAACTTAAGCTCAACTTAAACTTGCTTAAAACACAAAACAGTACCCTTCAGCAGTAGACATCGGTATTGGCACTAGCCCTCAAAACCTCTTACTGGCTAAAATTTACCACCCTTCCATCACACAACCATGCTTCCCTGTGGCTAGTGTCAATGCTTTTCTGCCTCTAGACAGAGATTAGATCCCACTTAAATCTCGGGCAGTTCAGTGGTCTGAACTTTATCTTTGTTGCTCTCGTTCCACTCATTTCCTCTCTTTATGTTTGCCATGACTTCTGTTACTTAAAGGATAGTCTTTGGAGATGTCTTTTCTGATTCTATGCCATTGATATATCAAGAAGTTTCTAAGTTAAAGTTAAAGGTCAAAGACCATGTGGGTATCTGAAAGATGATCATAACCTATCAACAGCCATTTTCTCTCATGATGAATAGTTTACTTGAAAAACAATAGTTATATTTGTAGTTTAAGAAGAGTTATACTATTGGTAATGAAGACTTTAATAAATCCCTCATCCCCATATCCAAACAATATTTCTGGTTATTTGCAATTTCGAACTGCAATAATATGCTAACAATGACTGTTTTTTTTTACAATGTCATTACAATAATTTAAACAATAGGACTCAAAAGTACAAAGCTTTTCAAGGTTGTCAATAGTCAAGGTCAATAGTGTGTGAATGGGTGAATGACTGGATGTATAAAGCGCTTTGGGGTCCTTAGGGACTAGTAAAGCGCTATATAAATACAGGCCATTTACCATATATATGTCAGGGTTCCTGGGTCGGTGACCCAGTGTTTTCAGTTCACACTCACTGTTTATCTACTGCCTGTTCCACTTCCTGTTTTATTGTGTTAGCCTTGGCCTGTGTGTATTATGTTCAATCCTCTTCCCATTATCATTAGTTCATTATGTTTAGCTGTGTACTCACCGGTCCCTCATTATCATCATTATCACCAGTCTGTGTATTTAAGCCCTCTGTTCTAC